ACTGCTGCTGTGCACTCTGCTTGGGGGTTTGTCCCCAAACACTAACAAAGTTGCTTGTAAAAACATGTGAATCTTACATTAAGATAGGTCTATCACCAGACAGAGCTCTCTATATTCTTCCTTTTTTGTCAATATTCTGGGATTAAGTTAATTGAAAATAAGAGATCTGTCTTTGATAAAATTCTCTAAAATTATTTCCCTATTTTATGGCAAACAACAATATGTGGCTATTGCCAATTAACAGATACATTGGGAAACATGCAGTTTTAAAGAAAGCCGATGACTTTTACTGTATTAAAAAGTATAAGGTTTACTTTAGCTTAAATCATACATTTGAAACATCAAACATAGCACTCTTCTAAAAGCTCTCTGAATGAGATAGATAGTCTTGAGTTCACACTTAAAGTTACCTGGTGGGAAGGTGATATCAATACTTTAGATCAGCTGGTTCGGACCAGTTCTGGTGTACTGATAGCAGAAATTTTGAGTAGTTCAGAGAACCAGCAACTACCACCTCTGGCTGGCTCTGACCCCACCCACCCGCCCACCCCGCCTCACCCTGCTCCGCCCCGCCCAACCACTCCTCATCTCACCTACCTGGCATAGCACACTGTGTTGCTCCTCGCTTGCATTGACCACCAGTCTCTGCGGCTTGCCTGTCTTCCCACGTGGTGCCTATGGCCCAACTGAGCGGCCCTGATCTGCCTGCTTGGATAAGTAAGCCTGTGAGTCGCAGCCACCTAGCTGCCCACCACCACCGTCCCTGCCTGCCTTCCCTACTCCCTTCCATGTGTCCAGCTGTGTGTGTACTTTCCTTTGACCGTGCTGTTTCTCGCCATTTCCCGTGCTGTCTGGGAGGCAGGCCGCTTGTCTGCGCTGCTTTCCACTGCATCCCAGCATTTCCCGCACTTCCCACTAATTCCCATGCTGTCCAGGAGGCAGGCCACTCATCCCAGCTGCTTCCCACACTTACCAGAGCTTCCCGCTTGCCTCTGAATGCTGGCTGAATGCTCTCCTCCCAGGCTTTTGAAATCCAGTGCCGCTTCTCCAGCTGCCAAACCCAATCACTCTTGAAATTCAAGAGTGCTGGATTTCCAAAGCCAAGGAGCTCAGTGCTATAAGAAGTGCCAGGAAGCCATCGGTCAGATGCGTTGCTGGAGCTGAACGGCTGGGCTGTTGCTGGCCCAGGAAGACTCCGAGGACTCAAGCTTCAACTTCTATTTTTCAGTGCAGAAAGGTAGAGCTGTGAGCCAAAATCCCAAACATAGAGATAAGATGCTGCTGCAGCACTCAGAATAACAGTAACCCAGACAGGGGTGATCTTTTTTGTCATTATAGCAGAAAGGTAAGGCTAGCAAAAAGATGGTAACAATGTGTATTTTTAATGAAGTTAATAAAGCCTCTAAATAGTTAAGGCAGGCAGTCTTTTTGTCACCAAGCATGGAGAAATATATATGCAATTAATAATAATAATAATTTATTAAATTTGTATGCCACTTGACTCCAGCAACTCAAGAAAATCTGTTTCATCTAAGGTTCTCAATAGCTTCAGATAGCATAGAATAGAATAGATTATATGTATATAAAGTGCGTGTACCTATATACAGTATAAGTTCTTTTGTATCTAGAATGGGAAGGTAACTCCGTGCATGTATTCTTCTGATTGTGTTCAAAAGTTTAAATTAATTCATAAAAATAAATACATTTTAATGAACATGTTTGTGTCCACTTTGTAAAAAAAGCAAAAGTCCACATTTGTGGAAAATATTAGAATTAGTCCAAAACAATTAGAATCCAAAAATCATGGCAAGAATTAAACTGGTCGAAATAAAAACAAGGCAAAATAACCACTGAGTTGTAAAACAGAAAAGTGAGAAAAATATTTTATTTCTTGCCAACTTTGAAGGTCAGCTCCAAACCTAGCTACCCTCCTTCTATTGACTGACTTTCTGGAAAAAAAAACATCATTTAATGTTGGCTAGGTAAGCTCCAATTTCCTTCAGAGTAACTGGTAACACAATACACAATTAAGAAATGTTATTTGAAATAGGTGCTTTGTAAACTTATCTGTGGCAAGTCTTCCCAGCCACTGTTTTGCAAAAACATTCACAATAATAAATATGCATCAGAATCCAAATATAGGGTTCCAACTTTAGGTGACATTTATGGCTGCTTATTTTGTTTCTACTAGTAGTAAAGAAATGAGTGAGAAATCATCATTTTTTATAATTGTTCCTGAAGTGGTGTGGTGTAAAAGGCAGCATTGATCACTAATCATAACTGCACAAGAACAGGCACTAAGCCCCAGATCCATAGAAGCAGGGATTTACCACACTAGATAGAACCCAAGGGTAGATTGGTGTCTCTCAGCTGAAAGATGTATGGACTTTAACTCCCAGAATTCTCCAGCCAGCCATCAAGGAGTTTCCACAGAGGATCGTGGAGAATAATTGATCTAAGAATCTATGGGAGTTCTGGATCCAGAAGGACAGACAGGCATTAGCTAATCAAACAGACACTGTAGTAGGAGATAAATTAATAGACAAAGACCAGAAGAGCTTGCGAGGCCAGGCAAGTGGGGCAGGGCAAGGCAAGGAACCCCTCAACATGAGTGATGTGAAGTTGGCCACCCTCACCCGGTCACATCCCTACCCAGCCATGCCCACCCAGTCACATGCCCACCAAGCCACGCCCACAGAACCATTAGTAAAAAAAATTGAATCCCACCACTGCTTTGGATGGAAGGGTTTTTTTAATGCCCTCTAGCAGTCTGTTGTAGTGCATTGTATTATTTGAAGGCAGCAAAATGTGTATAACATACAATATATATGCTGTTCATTTAAGCAACATGTTTAGAATAAATGCTTAATAATATATCATACTAAATCAGTTTTTAAATTATTTTTTAAAGATGAAACTTCAGCCTGGATCTCTTAAAATGTTTTGGACTCCAGCTCCCCATAAATTTTCTGCTCCTCTTTCCGTTATGAAGGAAATCTTGTTTTCCAAGTATGAGGTAAACTTTCTGAACATATTTGAAGACCACTTGAAATTTAGCACCAGGTTTGTTCTTTCTTAAATATGCAGCTATGCAAAGAAAGGTATTTTCTGTACCAGGATCTACTGTATATTTAATATGTAAATGACAGAACACAGCACGAAGCTGAAAGCACCAGCCTGAGGATGGCGAGTGGGACCTTGCTGAAACGTCACCAAGATACTCTTAATCTGAAAAGACCCGAACACACCTAGACCTACCTACCTACATACATACATACATACCTGCATATATATATGTAGCCATAATCATAGACATATTTTCTAGGAGTACTATGTTCATAAATACTTTCTAGGTTTTCAGTGTTTGTACAACTTAAAGATTAGTGGTGACATCTCCTTGAGAAATATACACAGCTGGATTTTCCAGTTCTATTTATTTATCTGTTTGTTTCCTTGTTTATGGTGATGTATGAAGCCAAAGTAAGATTACCTACAGTACCTATTGTTCCAGCTTTTGTTCTAGAATTTTTATAGTTTTTTAAAAAGAAAACTTTGGAAGTTTGTTTATCCATGGAATGTGAAATGCTAATATAATCACAATTAAATTCTTAAATTAAAAAAGAACCATCTTTCTCAATAGGGTTTCTTACCTTAAATATGATGGTGGCTTGCCCACTGAGCCTTCTTTCCCTCATTACTCTCACCTAAACAAAATTGAAAGCTTGTATATTATGGCTGAAATTGGAAATTTAATTGTTTTCTTGAACTTAAGTTTAGTTTTTATAGAGTCTTGGATTACTGTTTATAGCTACCTAATAATTATCATAGAAAAACACATTCTGTTTAATTTTTTTCCAGAGCAATTTGGTTCATGGGGTTATTTATGAAGATTTTTCCATTGATCTTCAAGAGAAAGAAAAGGCAGAATGCGCAGACGACTTTGACTATTTACTTTCTGTATGTATTGTACTTATAGGATTCATGGGAGTGTTTTTTTAATGTTTTAAAGAATCTCATCCAGCTTTTATAGCATCAAGTTTTGTGAGGGTAACCAAAACTAATCAGAAATGCAGTTCAGACAAGTACAGAACATTTAATCCTGGTAAAGGAATGGATTCCTAAAAGTCCCTCTTTTGGCTCCACCGTAGAAACCAAGCCATAATCAATGGAGGTGTTTTTTCCTTTTCTGCATGTAGAATATAGTTTCAGTAAAGTTATTTCAGATCATTAAGTTTTGTGTGTGCTTTATAAAGAAATTAGAGATGAGCATTATTCTATCACTTTCTGTCTAACAATTAACATACTTTGTGCTGCCCTGGCAAAACAAGAAGGCAAATCTAGAGATGGAAAACTACAGGTAGTCCTTGATTTATGACCACAATTGAGCCCAAAATTTCTGTTGTTAAGTGAAACATTAGTTAAGTGAGTTTTGCCCCATTTTATGACATTTCTTGATACAGTTGTTAAATGAATCACTGCAGTTGATAAGTTAGTGACCCGATTATTAAGTGAACTTGGCTTTCCCATTCCCACTTGTCCGAAGGTCATAAAAGATGATCACATGACCCAGGACACTGTAACCATTATAAATATGAGTCAGTTGCCATGGGGATGCTGCAAAGTCATAACTGAAAAACAGTCATAAGTCACATTTTTCAGTGCTTTTGTAATTTTAAATTGTCACTAAGCAAACTGTTACAAGTCAAGGATTACCTGTACTGTCCTTTGGGGATAGTTCGCTTCTATGTTTCCTCATAACATTGTTGCCTACTGTTCTTTCTAGCAATCCTTAGGTACCTTCATCCTTTCATTAATTTTAGTTTTTTTCAGTTTAGGTCTCACTGAGATCCCATAATTTGCCTTTCTCTACCTCTCATATACCAAAAAATCATTTATGGATTTTGAAATTCTTCTAGACAATCTCTTGAAATAATCCCTGTGTGGTGTACATGAAACAAGATGAAACATAAAACACAATAAAACATAATTTTAAAAGAATCTGATTAAAAATTGTGTAGTATCCAGTGTCAGGAGAACATATACCTCTTGAGTACATATAAAACAACCAGAGAGAAGGGACTCCACATCTAGCTGAAAGGGGTGCATTCCAAGAAACAATGATAAAAACTAAAATCACCGTCAGACTGAAAAGAAAATATTTTTAATTCTAAAATTTAATTCTATTAATGATGCAAGTAAATTCATTTGGGTGTATGATGCTCCCTGCCCACTTTGTTTTCAACACATAGTCTTGCATATTTTGGATCTATTGATTGATGTAAAACTGAATTGAACAGGAAAGCCAAATTCTTTCTCTTTATATTCCCAAAGTAAGCACCCACATATTCTGTATGCATTTAAGTAGAAGTGAGTTCTAGCTCTAAACATTAGTCTAAATGACTAGGGTGAGGGCTGAAAAACAGTGGAAGGGAGATTAGACAGAAACATTCAAGAGATACATGGTAGTAAGTCTGTTGACAGCTTATTTTATAAATAGCAGTTCAGCTAAGGTGGCAAGAAATTGAGGAAGAAGCGTTTAAAATCCTCCAAAGATATTCTGTTTTAATAAATTCACTATAAATGAAGATTAAAAATTCATCTTGCAGTTCCCACAGTTTTATATTTACCCCGAAACTGTCATTGAAGATATCTGTGTAATCCTTGTTTTCTTGATTTAGCTCAGTCTGACCAAATAGTTTGCAAACTGCTATTTTGCTTACTGGTTATTGCTACTGTCTATTTCATCTGGCAGATCTTAGGAGAACAGAAGAGCTACAAAGTAATTATATGGCAATCTGCAACACTATATAATGTGTGAGGAGCATATGCCACTATAAAAAAAAACTTATTCCATTTTCATTTATGGGAGGCTACTATTACAGTAGTAAAAAGAAAAAAGTCCTAAATTGTCCTATTTTTTATAACCTTTGTTTCTTGAAGGATAGTTAAGTTGATGTAGACTAGTAGATCCTTTTGGGTAACCAGTTGTTGTAAATACTACATCTAGGTTATGAAAAAGTATGTGCTTTGATTTGTTCCGTCAATATTTGTTAACTTTAATAATAAATATTAACACCAATTGTCCTGATTTAAATAATTGCCATTAATGAAGCTCATCATAAAATTCTTATAGACCTTATAGATTCTTATACAGGATCAGAATCTAAAACCACTTTTCAGATAAGAATTATACTAGGCTTTTAAAAATCTTATTATTGTAAAAATATCAATTTTGTTTTTATTGTAGAATATTAGTGCAAATGGAAGATGTGGTTCCTTTCCAGAACTTGTGTTTTCCGAAACTACTGTAAAGGTATTGTAATTTTAAAATTAGAAGTATGTTTCATGATATGATTTTATCTGTGGTTTGATTATATACTCTTAGTAGGAAACTTTACTAAAAATTAAATTGCAGCATTGTGAACAAGTAAGAATAATCATACTTAAAATATGATTTCCTTTTCGGGAACTGTACATATTGGAAAATTATTTGTTAAAAGATATGATTACTTAGTAGTTACTGTACATTCAAAGAAGGAAAACCTGTCTAACATAGGAATTATCAGAAATTTACATACTATTCCCAATCATGAGATGATGTTGATGTGGCTATGCTGCTTAAAGTTGAAACACAATGGTCACAGAATAAAATTGAATCAAGAGAACGATTACACTTAACAGATTATTCAGAAGGAGGCAGTTTATTTTTCCCAATCACGGATAGAAGTGCAACATCTATTTGTTGTTGTTTCAGAACAGATTGAAAGGCCATATGGTTTGCCTTAAAACTCTTTTGCTTCTTCATTAGTATTCAGGTCAAGACTGGATGGTGGATGAATTCTTGCCTCTATGTCCGATGATATCAGAAGGCAGGTCTATAAGGGAGGGAAGCTCCTCCTCTTAGACAATGAGCTTCCAGTGTAAAATGCCTTTCTCCAAGCAGAAAGAGGCAGGGACAGAATAACAGAGTTGGAAGGGACCTTGGAGGTCTTCTATTCAACCTCCTGTTCAAGTAGGAGACCCTATACCATTTCAGACAAAATTACTGTCCAGTTTCTTTTTAACAGCTCCCAATGATGGAGCACCCACAACTTCTGAAGGCAACCCATTCCACTGTCTTATTGTTCTCACTGTCTGGAAATTTCTCCTTAATTCCAGGTTGCTTTTCTCCTTGATTAGCTTCCATCCATTGCTTATTGTCTTTCCTTCTGGTGCTTTGGAAGATAGGTTGACATCCTCTTCTTTGTGGCAGCTTCTCAAATATTGGAACGCTACTCTCACGTCGCCCCTAGTCCTTCTTTTCACTAGACTGGCCATACCCAATTTCTGCTACTGTTCTTCATATGTTTTAGCCTCCAGCCCCTTAATCATCTTTGCTGCTCTTCTTTGCACTCCTTCTGGAGCCTCAACATCTTTTTAATAATATGACGTCCAAAACTGAATACAGTATTCCAAGTGTAGTCATACCAAGGCCTTATAAAGTGGTACTAATTCTTCATGTGATCTTGATTCTATCCCTCTTAATCCATTAGCTTTATTGGCAATATTTAAACAATTGTCCACTAGATCTTCAAAATCCTTCTCACAGTTACTGCTATTGAGCAAAGTTTCACCTAATCTGTACCTGTACACTTGGTTTTTCTTGCCTAGGTGCAAAATTTTATTTTTCTTTACATTGAATTTCATTTTGTTAGGTAGGGCCCAGTGTTCAAGTTTGTCAAGATCTCTCTGGGATATTAAGCCTATCTTCTGGGGTGTTGACTATTCCTGCCAACTTGGTGTCATCTGAAAATTAGATGAGTTTCCCTTCTATCCCCTCACCTAAATCATTTGTGAAGATATTGAAGACTACTGAGCCTAAAACAAAATCCTGGAGTACCCTGCTGCTTACTTCTCTCCATATAGATATAGGATTACATAATGAGTGCCATTTGTCAGTCAGATTTCTGGTTATAACACTGCTTGTTTCTAGGTGTTCGGGGTTCTATTGCTTGATTATCTTTTCAAAGGTCTCCCCAGGTATTATTGTCAAGCTGATTGGTCTGTAGTTTCCTGGATCTCTTACCATTTTCTTGCCTATTTTAATTTGAATTCCCAGTGTCTTTTACGGTTCTGTCTTTGGTAGATTGGGCTATTTTTTCTTTTTGTGCGAAGAGACATGCAAAAAAAAAAAAAAAGAATTAAAGCAGCTCTGCTTTTTCCCTGCTGCTTGTCACTTCCTTACCATCTTCTACCCATTAGTGGACTGATCATTTCTTTGACTTTTTTTCTTATTTTTTATATTGACCATTGTTTTCTGCTTGTGCTTTCATAGAGAAGCATGCTCCATGTAAGAGAAATTAAGAAACACATGCTTCCAGGCCATACTTCATAACAGTAACCTCAGGAAAAGCAAAGTTGGAGGGGGGGGGTGGATTTTCCCTTGGGCTGCTATATTCTAGAAGTGAGAGTTTACAAACTGTATCTGGCTGAAGGGCCATCTCCCATTGTGCTCTGGAAAGACCCTTGTCCATTTGAATAAGATTTTCTTTGCCTCTTCTGCCAGTGAGAGTCTACTGCTCTGGCTAATTCTGATTCTAGTCATTCCTTAGTTTAAAAATTCATAGCAATAGATAAGACATATAGCATTTCCTGGGCTAAGTGGTAAATATATTGAACAATGCACTAAATGAATAAATAAAATGTTAATGTAAATAAAATTCAAATGTCTGTATGAATATTTTATGAAGAGCACTCTGCTATATGCTTGAATCACTATTGCATAAATTTACATTTCTCTAAAAGGCTATAGTTCTTTTGCAGTTTTTCATTAGTCTTCTAGTTTTCAATTTACCTATTCTGCTTAGTTTGGTCAGCGACTAATAGATTCTATTTTTGTAAAACATTATATTGTAAAACCTACATAATTATATTATTCATTATATTATTTCAATACATTTGTATTTATATTAATGTTTATTAACTTGGGAGACTTCAACCTGCCATCCCTGGGTTCAGCCTTGGAAGTGGCCCAGGGGTCCATGACCACCATGGCAGACATGGGCCTATTCCAGATTATCACAGAATTGTCTTGGGGCAGTGATCACACATCCAGCATGATTTTCTTGCCGGAGCAATGGCAACATGATTTAGTAGGAGGTTTAACATTATCCCCCCTGTCATGGTCACATCATGCCCTGGTGTCTGTGAGAATTTCTTATGCCACCTCCCTCTGCAGGGAGGCTGAACCCATTTGAGCAGTTTGCCCTTGGTGATTGATGGACCTGAATGGGTCCCAGAGGGAACTTTTTCTGTCCTCTAGGTCATGGTTGTCCCAAATGTGCTTTTTCCAAACGGCAGCTGGACTTTTTTGAGTGCATATAGTTTCAAGACCCAAGTCTTTGACATACTTAGTCCTGGATAGGGTGGCATATCCCAGACAGACCCGCTGCTCAACTTCAACAGAAGGGTGCAGTTGTGGCTAGGAAAACCTTTGCACCCTTATGTATTCAGAAGCTTCAACTGGTGCAGTTTGGGGTGGTGCAGACAATCTTTGGGACCTTACAGTGGCCCATGTTAAACCACTGTTTGGAGAGCTGCACTGGCTGCTAGTTTGCAATTCAAGGTGCAATTCAAGGTGTTGGTTATTACCTATAAAGCCCTGTATGGCATGGGTCCAGGTTACCTGAGGAACTGTCTCACGCCTAAGGGACACATCCACCCCATCCTTGCCAGCAGAGAGTCCATGCTGTGGATCCTGTCAGTTAAGGAATTCCAGCTGGCGGGGTCCAATAGAATTCTCTAGGATAGATAGTTCTCTATCCTGTCCCTTTGGAATATGTTACCCCCTGAGGTGAGATTGGCTCCTACCCTCCTGATTTTTTACAAGAGCCTGAACATCTGGTTCTACCACTTGGCCTGCAGCCCCAATGGGGGAATATCACATTTGATTGACCAAAAGCGGTTCTCACCTCTCCCCTTATATATTCTGCTTCCTTCCCATGATTTTATACATTTTTACACAGGCACACAGATTTATTTATTTATTCATTTATTTATTCATTCATTTATTTATTTTTATGTTGTAAGTTGCCTAGAGTCATCTTGTGATGAGATGGGCCGCAAACAAATTTAATAAATAAAATAAATCAAAACTATAATATTTAGATAACAGGTCATTTAAGATAAAAGAGAAAAATATTGTATCAGTATTAATGATGACTTAAAACATCAATATTAATGAGCATAGGATTATGTATCTTTTTCATCCAGAATTACAGTAAATATAACATTAAAAAACTTCAGCAGATTGCATCAAAGTATGTGTTATGTGATAATTTTTTTTATCCTCAGTATTAAGGCCTCCACTCTATTGTTAACTAATATAATCTGTGCATATTGAAGATTCTTATTCCTGAAATTCAAATTATTAATAATCTTTTAGCAAACAACTTATGAGCATGTAAAATTTATCTTTAGGATATGTAAAATCAGAATTGCTTTATTATTTTAAATTATGTTTATTATCTTTATATTTTTTGATAACTTTTTGTGTATTAGGATGAAATCATTAAATATGTAAGTAGTCTGTTATAGAAGAATGACTCCTCTAGCAAATATGTACAGTATAGTGGATTTCTATGTTTTATTCAATTCACATGACATTAGTATGTATAATGGTGCAATAATTTTCTATGAATCTTATCAAAATAACAGATTATCTGAAATAAAAACCATGAAAAGAGATGCATATTTTGAAACTCCATATCCAATTATACTTACCAGAACATGAGTAGCATTTCCAAATTATTTAGTTTATAGTTACTCTTTTTACAAAAATTATTTAGAAGTAATTTATAGCAATTCTGAATTCATAGCAGACTTACAAGTTTTTGGTCTGTGGTATAGTATACATTTCCACAAAAGTTAGAAATTGAAAATTGTAAGTATAATATTATGCCTAAGTACAGGTAATCCCTGAGTTACAAATGTTCCCTTAGCGAACGTTCAAATTAATGCAATAAGTGCCCCCTAGTGTTTACAAACAAGTCCCAAAATTACAAATGTTTCAGCTCATGGCAGTTGTTCATCCTTATGAACAACCGCAAAGGTTTTGCAACATTTGCCCTGCCAATCCCCCACATCCTCACGCTGGGTCTTCATAGGTACTAGGCCTGTGGATACTCAATTTGTGAAGATTTAGAGAGCTTTTGCTTTTTTGGCCTGTTTCGACACTTTAGGCCTTTGGTGAGTATGCAGAGAATGGAGGTCTAAAATACTGCAAGGTCACGTTAGATGAGTAGCACATGATCTCATGCTACTGACCTCTCATGATCTCACGGTACTTTAGGCCTCTGTTCCCTGCAAATGGAGACCTGGATGAGATCTGCAACAAAAGACTTTGCAAATGGAGGGAAGGCCTGAAACATTGAAGCTTTCCCTCCATTTGCCATCTTTGCAAAAAGCCTTTGCTGCTGAGAATGGAGGCCTGGAGGGACTTACAAGTTGCTCCAGGGCTCTTTTAGCCAGGAAAGGCCTTTCCTCAAGGCCTCTGCCAAAGAGAATGGAGCCCCTGGAGGGTCTATGCTTCGCTCTCGGGTCTCTGTTCTCTTTGGCAGAGGCCTTGAGGAAAGGCCTTTCCTGGTGAAAATGAAGCTCTGGGGCGACGTGTGCTCCTTCTGGGGGCTGCGTTTTCTTTGGTAAAAGCCTTCTCAAGCCTGGAGGGAGTTCTTTGAAATGGTGCCCCCTAGGCTCATAAACATTTTTTGGCCAGGGGCTGAAAGCTTCTTGGGGCCGTGATCTCTTGTGACTTCAGACATCCATCCACTTTTGTAGAGAATGGGTGCCTGAAGTCTCACGAGATTAGGGCATCCAGAAGTTTCCAGTCTATGCACAAAAAATGTTTGCATGCCAACGGGAGGCTTGAAGCCTTTGGAGGAGAGTCACCAAGGCTGCCTGCCACTCCAGAAGCCTTGGTGAATCATACAAGCTGAGCAGGGTGTGCTCATCCTGCTTTCCCTCCGTTCTCATCGCTCTCCGGGAGTAGGCAAAGAAACATAGAAACTGGAGAGGAGACAGATCTTCATAAGGTAAGTGACACAGCACAGCAGGATGTGGGGAGCAATTGTGGGGACCCCTGGGAGGGGGAGAATGAAGTATCTCAGTGCGTTTGGGAGGCATTGGGTGGTCTGAAGTAGGTGGCCTCTTCTATTTCTAGTCCCTACATGGCCTTCCCCACCGTGTTATCTCAGGTGCACTTAATGAGCAGTGCATTCAGTTAGCAAATGCATGAACAAAAGGAGGGAGTGATTGGGTTCAAGTTATGCAATTCACTGCTACAAATTTTTGGGTTACAAATGGAATGGGCAGGCTTCATTACATTTGTAACTCGAAGACTACCTGTAATAACTCAGGGGAGACATAACAATCTTCCAATATTTGAGAGGCTGCCACAGGAAGGGGTCAATCTATTTTCTAAAGTGCCTGTAGGAAGGAGAGATTTAACCTGGAAATAAGGAGAAACTTTCTGATAGAACAATCAACCAATGGAACAGCATGCCCTCGGAAGTTGTGGGAGCGCCATCACTTGAGACCTTCAAGAAGAGATTGGACTGCCATTGGTCTCCCACTTGGGTGAAGGGTTGGACTAGATGACCTATAAGGTCCCTTCCAACTCTGATTATCTGTTATCTATTAACTCATTCCTGACCCATTCAGCCTGCAAGGAATTTCTGTAGTAAATTTATGTAGCTGAAACATTTAAAAACAAGGCCCTCCAAATTGGGGAGATGGTCTATAATTCCCACAATTCTCAGTTAGTTCAAGAATGTGAATTGTCATATATGTCATCTCATACATCTCATAAATAATTATTTTATCAATACCCATTGAGTTGTGTTTGTTGATCATTAAGGCTTTTTGGTTTAGCTTCTACAATATTTTCAGTGTCGGAAAATGTATACTACATCTAGATATACTATGCTATTATCATAATACTTAGATTCACTACTTTGGCCATCTGTAATATTCACATGGAACTTTGGTTAAAGGGCAATCCTTGATTTAAATTGTATTATGTATCAATATGTTTTCCAAAATTATGCCCATAAAATACGTTTTATTTTCTTGCAGGACCATTTGGTTGAAAGGCCAAATAGTGCACCAGAATTGACCTCATACAGAGACAAAACACTTATAAAGATTTCTTCAAATTTCAAAACTGCTATGGAAGAGCTTGATATCATGAGCAAGCATGTTCCTTTAACAAAACCTAAGGCTGCAATACCAGAAGTGGAAGTTTCTCTAGAAGAGCGTAGTTTTGCTGCTAATCTTTCAGGAATTAGTTTTAACCCTCCAAAAGTACCTGTAGATCCAGAGAAAAATTCTGAAAGAGTTACACTAAAAATTCCTAAAGGAAATCTTTTTGAACCACAGTCTGCTGAAGCACTTGTAGATCAGACTACTCTTGCTGATGAATGTCGAAAAGCTGGAATTAAGTACATAATTTTCCCAAAGAAAAAAAGAAGATCAATAAAAATAGGGAAAATAGGGAAAAGTATTACTCCCAGAGTATTGGATAGTATATTTCAAAAATTAAATGAACCTCCAAAGATTCTTAAAAGGTTGTATATTTAATAATAATGTTATTATGTATTTATTTAGACAGTTGGACAGGACAGATCTGTTGGTTAAAGATGTTTGGTTTGGGGAAGATTATGAATGCTCTCTATATGAAAATAATTACTACTGATAGTATTTCTGGGCTGGAGCAACATTGTATTAATTGCTATGGATCTGCAAACTCCTTTTGTTCCCCCCAAAAGTTACCAAGATCCATATCCTCAGCTTTGTCTATCTTGATGTACAACTTTGGAACCAATGTGAGGAGTCAAAACAAAGCTGACAGTGAAATCAGCAGGATTTTTTTTTTCTTAAAGCTATTTCTAAAGGCACCTTTTTGTTGCAGGCTTCCAGCCTTTGGGTTTTTTTGTCAAATAATCCTCATTTCGTGAGCATTAGTATTGCAATAGCAAATATATCCTTCCTATTGGTATAAACCGAGTTTTATTTTGCCATAGTGAAGGGACTAAATACTTATAAGCATTGCTAGGTTTGTGATAACTCTGCTTTTTTACAAGCACCCATTTGGGAGAAAACGCTAAACTTATGTGTAGACATCGGAATAGCATAGCATAGCATAGCATAGCATAGCATAGCATAGCATAGCATAGCATAGCATAGCATTAGCATAGCATAGTTGGAAGGGACCTTGGAGGACCTTTGATTTTTCTTGCCTAAATGTAGAACCTAACGTTTTTCACCATTGAATTTTATTTTGTTGGATAGCGCCCAGTGTTCAAGTCTGAACATTGAAAAAATGAATCTTTTATTTTACAGAATCATCCTCTTAGTTCACTAAGAGAGATATTATTTGAGTTTCCCTTTGAACTTGCAAAATAGATTGAATTATCTCCATCAGAAATCAGTTATTTATTTGTGAGGTGTATGCCATTTTACATGATTACAAAGTTATATACTTCCACACTAATGGACAATTCTACTTGTGTTTCCATTAGAAATTTTCTTACCATAACTTTAATATTATGTACTTAAGCTGGGTAGTCCTGTGGCATCTTAAATTTGTTCTAAGGTTGAGGTGGTATAAAGTGATAAATATATAAATAACAAGCTATTAAATGTTGCAGTTTATAACATTTATTTCAGTAATCTGTATTACCTCAGTTACACATTGATCATAATTTTTCTTCTCCTTTTTAGATCTGTGTCTCTGACTGTCCAGAAGCTTAAGATGCATAATAAAAACTCTATTAAAATATCTCGAACAATTAAACTTTATAGAAGTCCCAGCCTCCCCTGTTCGTTAAACTTTGAAACATTTGCCAAAAAACAGGGAAAAGGACCTGAAGATTCTAATTATCTTTGGGCCAGGCTATTATGGAATAAATGGTTTGGGGAGCTGTTTGTTCCCAGTAACAAACCTGCTGAAGATAAACAGATGTTAGGCAAACGTCTTTTAGAACAGGAAACGGAGGATGCTGCAAAAGAAAAAGAATTACCAAACTACGTGAATCCTTTCCTATTTGATGGCAAAAAAGAAGAACTTGCACAGTGTGAGCATGAGATTGAGAGAATAACCGAAGAGATAAATAAAGGATGTGCTATAGCATTTAACTATTGTCGTCGTGGAGCAATATACAGAAAGATTGGAAAAATGCAGTCAGCGTTGGATGACTTAGAAAAAGTTTGTTTAAAACAAATACTTTGTTCATAAATTTTACTTAATTTATTGTATAGCTAAAGATTTCCAAGGGTGCCTCTTCCTCTTTCTTCTGATGTTCACTTTTCAAAAGAAAACTTTCCAGTTTTTAACATTGCCTATTTTTGTATTCTAAACTGTTTAGCAAATAATGCCATAGTATTTCCACATGTATTTGCTTTCCTGCGCACGTATGTATATATGTGTACATATATAATCATTAGAAGGGAGGTTGACAAGAGACATAAGAAAACGCAAATCTAGAGCTCTGAAAAGGTGTTTCCCTTTAAGATTTTCTGGGTTTTTTTTGAAGATTTTGTCATTGAACAGTATCAGTAACAGTATATTGCCACAAGTTCACATATTTTTTTAAAAAAAGATAGATATAGTACTATCCTCAACCAAATGTAGTACCAAACTTTGGGCTTGTTGCATTTATTTCACAGTATCATTCAACAAGTGATATATCGGTATGAAACAGCAATCATCCCTCATTTAATAATTTAAAAGTTAAAAGGTAGTAAGGGCCAATTATGCAAAAAATTAAACAGGACTTATTAGGACAGTTCTGAACTGTGTCAGCCTAGTAACTTTGACTTATGATAGTGGTTATTTATCATATAGAATCTGGAAGTATGTTATGTCTCATTCAAATGTCTGACAACTTTCATTAAAAAAATGAAAAATGATGCTTAATTGCCTGGAAAATGCTACAAAACAATTTCTAAAGTTTTGCGATGTTATCAATTCATACTCAGAGATATAAATCTAAAATAATTTGAGATGACATATCTTCCCAAGAGTGATACTCTGTCAGAAATCTCCAAGAATATAGCATAAAATCATCCTAGAAGTCACCTCCTGTCAGCCTTACCGGGTAGAAAAAGCCCCCAGACAAGCTAATTCTATTTTACTATAAAGCTACATTAACAGAATTGGCAGGTCTGAAAGTACAGTTCTTCTGCCATTTCCTTTACAGTTCAAGAAGCTGGGGATGGTCCCTTCTGAGCCTCTTGCCCCACCTATCCAGCTGAGGACTACGATGTCTCTTATCTGACCATTTCCCAGGCAGCATCTCTTTGTCCACTTTCCAAGGTCTTTCTTACATATCCTGACACTTCTACCCCTCCCCCCAATCTAAATAATCTGCATGTCTTTCTCATCTTATCTAAAGTTAATTTTTATGATTCCATATCAGAAAAGCACATAGCATAACAAGAAAGAACAATGATGCTCATCTCAAGTTTGCCAAAAAGCACCAAGATGATAATGAAGACTTTTGGAGAAATGTTATATGCATAGATGAGTCAAAAGTGATTTTAAAAAAAGCTACAACAGTATTACTGCATTTGGCAAAAACTAAACACTGTGCTCCACAGTAAGAACTTCATACCAGTTCGTAAGCATGAATGCAGTCTGAGGATTCCTCAGCTGCCTCACCACTGGGACAAGTTGCTATCATGAAGGAAAAAGGAATACTGCTGGATTTTAGTGAATTTTCTAGAAATAACGAATTAACAGTTTTGGAGTGACCATGTCAAAGTCCAGAAAATGTCAGAGAAATGATGATAGAATCTGGAATGACCAGTTTGTGCTAGGAAATTGAGCTGCAGTGGCGCAGTGGTTAGAATGCAGTACAGTGGGCTATTTCTGCTTGCAATTTGGCAGTTCAAATCTCACCAGGATCAAGATTGACTCAGCCTTCCATCCTGAGGTTGGTAAAATGAGGACACAGATTGTTGGGGGCAATATGCTGATTCTGTAAACCGCTTAGTGAGGGCTGTAAAGCAATGTGAAGCAATATATAAGTGCTATTGCTATATGTTACTGAGTTGAAGCAGTTTGCCATAGATGGATGAGCCAGAATTTCTACACAGTATGAGGCTAATAGTTAAATAGAAATAGGAATTTGGTTGCGATTACTCCAACTATAAATGATTCAGTCATTTACTAAATCTAAGGGGATGATTACTTTTCACACTGCTACATCACACTGTGGTTTAATAATCTAGACTTCCTTTATGTATCAGTGAGACTCAGATGCAGCTCTTATAACATTCAGTGGCAAAGACACAAAAAAATTCAGACAATCCAAAAGGGAATAATTTTTCATAAGTCATATAATTTATTATGATAAAAATATTTAATTCAAGTTAGGAATTGTCTGACTCCACATTTCTCTGGGCAGTTCATAAATAACATAAAAACCAACACAAATAAAAATTAAAATGGGATCTAGGTACAATAAACAGGTAAAACATATATAGCAATTTTCTATCTTGAAGATAGAAATTTTCTTTCTTAGAGCAGAGGAGAAAAGAGGAAAGGTTTTTTTCCCATCCTTATTGACTAGATGCGATCATGTTATATCAATTCTCAAGGGTGGTCTGCTTCAGGGGAGTTAGTCAATAAATTCTGGTATCATGGAGGTCATTTGAATAAAGCCTTTGCAAGCAAAGTTCAAAGAATGCATATGGCAATTTATCATGTTCAGGAGACACGTTGCTTGTTGATGCTATTGACTAGGTCAGGGCTGTCAAACCCTGGGCCTGTGGGCCAGATGCATCATGCATTGGCCAAGCCCCCACCCCATTTAGCGAAGGAGGGAAAAGTCCCGATACATCACATGATGCCACCATGATGATGGGAGTTTGACACCCCTGGACTAGGTGATCAGAGAGGCATTTTTTATGTACTGAAGGTATAATACATGAATTACATATACGATTTCTGCTAATTCAATATGTAGTTAACACATTTCATTTGGTTAATCAGTTTCTTGGTCAAAATATATAAAAGATATATGGGTAAGTATTTCAGAATGTGTTGTATTACCATGACCCATATTTAGTGTATTTTCATAAATAAAGACAGCTATAACCAGCAGAGTAGAACAGAATGAAAATAATTCTTTTAGAAACTCACAGTATGCCAAAGAATTGATCGATGTAAATAATGCAAAGGACAATTATTAATGAATGGGTATTATTGCTGCTACATGTGATGTAGAAGGCAAGTACAGAATTTGTATCTTTAAATATTTTTATTGTAAGTATGGTCTGTGAGACAACTTTTGAAATGATAGTCCGAATGAAGTTGAGATGGATAGCCTACACTATGTTGATGAAGACTCATAGCCAGTTATTGAGATTATCTTATAAGAAATAAGTCTGCGAATAATGTATATTTCAATTGGCCTTGAACATGGTTTAAATTAATTACCGAAGTACAGTCAGGCCATATGTTAAAAGACAAAAGTTACATTTATATAGTAATATGCCTTACATTTGACTAAATTGATAGGATTTTATGTATGGCAGATATAGTGTATAATTATTACCACAACTATCTCCATATTCTCTCTTCTCTGAGCCTGTAAAACCAATTGTTCCAGAATCTTTCTCAGTTCTGTGACTATGGCCTCATATATTATATTAGCAATTATAATATAGAGATAATCTCTTTAATGGTTTTCAGGGACTAGCTCTTGTGGCATTTTGGCTGCTCCATCTGCATTGCTCCAAACAAGTACCCTCTCAGCTTCTACCAGTTTTCAATAGTACACAAATGCTAATAGCAAGTGAAGCTGGGTAATGTGGAGGTTTCTCTGATCCAAAATCTATGGCAAACAATGTTTGAAAGGAAGGTACTGTACCAAATATTGTTGTCATGGAATGTCTCACAGAACTTGGGAAATCAGGCAGAGATTCCGGGAAACCAGGCAGAGGAGGCAACAAGTCCATTGCAAAAGAGACAATTCAGCCCGGAGTAGGGAAACATGAAAATTACACTCAGAGCACTCCCCTCGCTTAATTATAGTAAGTTGAATGAGAGAATGACTTTGACAGGTTTTCAAGGTTCTGTTATATTACCCTACTAGAAATAAATATTTTCTTAGATACCCAAATGATTCATGTATCAGGAGTTGGCCAGTCTTGCATGATTTGGTATTAATCTTGAGAACCTCTCTGTCTATGGAGATTCTCAGTCATCCAGGTACTGGTTGTCCAAAGGTACTGTTCTAAGAGGCAACTAGATTTGTTTTTCTTTAAAGACATTTCACTTCTCATCCAAGAAGCTTCTTCGGCTCTCATCCAGAGCTGAAGAAGCTTCTTGAATGAAAAGCTAAATATCTTCAAAGAAAAACAAGAAAGTCCAATTGCCTCTTGAAAAAGCGGGAGTTGAGAACCTGTCATATCAATGTTCCTGCTCAGGTAGTTTAAGTCTAGAATAATTAATCTGAAGTTGCTTGGAATCTCTTTCTTCTGCTTTCCCACTTTCCTGGGTTGTGATATCATTTTTGCAATGATCCTGTTTCCGATTCTACTTTCCCAGATATGTTAAAAAACTCTATTATAGTTGCATACAAACTGGTAGAGACATTACAATAAAGTGTCTATGTTAAGAATATTTACATTGAACCTGTGCCAGGGAATTTATGTCATGGAATAAATATGTGGTAATTTGCATGAGAAAAGGTAATGAGCAATTAGATGAAGAAATACAAAGACACCATATGATAAGAATATAAACACAAACTGATTTTTCCCTCTGTGGAACTAATATTTAAATAATATTTCTCACCAGGTCAGTATTTATAATATTTTCTTCTACAGCATTGAAGTGTAGAAATAGTGCAGAAATAAAATAATCATTCTGATTAAATATGTCATTATCTTTGTAGGCAATACATTTGGAACAATTTCTGGCTAATGCCTATTGGCATAGACACTTAATATTTGTTTACCAAAACAAAATTCTTCCAGCTCTGGAAGATTTGAATTTTATAATTAAATGCAATGTAAGCTATACAGGTAAGTGTCTTTGAAATCCTGTTGTCAGTATCAAAATATGTTGTATATAGTGTGATACTGACTATACATAATGTATATCATACTATATATAATTACTGAGTTAGATAGACTACTGTTTAACATTTTGATTAGTCAAATATTTGTGAATTATTTTCTAGGTGTGATCATGATAACAGTGATAATTTAGATCATGAACAGCCAACCTTTCGGCATGCCTCTTGGCTGCACTGAATGAAAGAATTGTCTAGGGCTACATCTAAATGTGTGTGTGTGTATAATATATACATACACACATATAAAATGGGTGTCCAACCTATTGGCTTGCCTTGGGCTGCATCTAAAGATAGATAGATAGATAGATAGATAGATAGATAGATAGATAGATAGATAGATAGATA